AACGGACTGCCCAGTATGGGCCAAAAGGCCCGCTGCAGTTTCCTCCATTCTTATGTTCTTATGTTCGTTCCTGGAACCCAATCATCATGACCTGACTCAGCTACCCTCACCTTAGTCCACAATAAGGAAAATTCCACCACCAGACACGCCCCATCAAGGTATACAGTATATAACCCTCGCTGTCATATCCGTCCTCAGTTGAGTATAATCCTCGGCGTGTCCACAACTATTGTGTCTCCTACATTACTGTTTGTATCAACATCAGTCAGGTTGGTAATTAAGTTCAATGTGCACAAAATGTTATATTTTAAGTGAAAATCAACACAAGAAATGCTGTTTACACACAGTTTACCATTACATTTACCTTTCATATTGAATACTGAGGGTAATGTAAACATTTCTTTGTAACTATTTCCCGAAATACCTCGCAGCTCTGGTGCACAGCATCTCGCTCTGTAGTTTTGCCGTGTGGGCTCAGCACCCAGCGCCAATATTTGGATACCTGCCTACGAAATTTCTGTAGTCCCTGCACCAACACATCCCTTCGTTGTATTGTGAGTCTCTCCTTACTGACACCTTTCAGGCAATACACCAACTGTGTGTGGCCCGGATTTACAGCAGGTTTTGTTTCGTATGAGGCGCCAGGCTCTCAACCTAACCAATTGTTTCCGAAGGTGTAACTACATCACTGTTAATTAGAAGTTTAACCCAGCCAAAGTAATACAACTTAAGGACTAAGATACCTGGTGAAGTAGATACTATGACAAAATTACTTTACGGTACCGGGATGTTCTTACTTCTTCCTAGTATCAAGTGCTGAACAACTGTTGTTATTATTATTATTATTATTATTATTATTATTATTATTATTATTATTATTATTATTATTATTATTATTATTATTATTATTATACCAGCTACGAGTCATACACCAGAGAGGGTAGTGAAGTAACAGGTAGGTGGGCAGGTGTGTAGCTTCTTAGTCTACCCATAATGAAGGAATTTTCTGAAGATGCATTAAATGTAAAGTAGATGTGAATAAGTAGGATGATATAATTAAAGACTATGTTAAGGATGTTATTGTGGTGTTATGAAGTGTAAGTAATAACTCGTGTTGTCTGTGGTAGATGAAGGTGGCAGCGTTACTACTGTGTGTGGCGGGTCTTACCGCAGCTACTGAAACACTCACCTCCTGGAAGCTCTTCAAGGTAACGCCCTCAGGTAGTTACTGTACACCTTCAGGTAGTTACTGTACACCCTCAGGTAGTTACTGTACACCCTCAGGTAGTTACTGTACACCCTCAGGTAGTTACTCTACACCCTCAGGTAGTTACTGTACTCCCGCAGGTAGTTACTGTACACCTTCAGGTAGTTACTGTACACCTCCAGATAGTTACTGTACACCTCCAGATAGTTACTGTACAGCACCTTCAGGTAGTTACTGTACACCTTCAGGTAGTTACTGTACACCTCCAGATAGTTACTGTACAGCACCTTCAGGTAGTTACTGTACACCTTCAGGTAGTTACTGTACACCTCCAGATAGTTACTGTACACCTCCAGATAGTTACTGTACACCTTCAGGTAGTTACTGTACACCTGCAGGTAGTTACTGTGCACCTCCAGATAGTTACTGTACACCCTCAGGTAGTTACTGTACACCTCCAGATAGTTACTGTACACCTTCAGGTAGTTACTGTACACCTTCAGGTAGTTACTGCACACCTTCAGGTAGTTACTGTACACCTTCAGGTAGTTACTGTACACCTTCAGGTAGTTACTGTACATCTTCTGGTAGTTACTGTACACCTTCAGGTAATTACTGTACACCTTCAGGTAGTTACTGTACACCTTCAGATAGTCACTGTACATCTTCTGGTAGTTATTGTACATCTTATGGTAGTTATTGTACGCCTGGTAGTAGTGTACAACATTTCCTTCACAGATGTAGATTTTAACCAACCATTACAATATAACAACTCAAATAGATACCAACTATTACAATATACGAAGACATGTTGGCAATAACCGTAAATATATGTGTCGCCACCCCTCCCAGGCTCGCTATGGCCGGCAGTATGAGAGTCTTGTGGAAGAGAATTACCGCTATGGAATATTTAAGAAGAACGAGGAACGAGTCAACAACCACAATCTGAAGCATGAGAGAGGAGAGGTCACCTTCACGATGGCCATGAACCAATTTGGTGATATGGTCAGTCACACAGTCACATTCTGTCTATTAGCTTGGCTATTTCTTAACCAGTCTATCAGTCCATAACGTTCTGTTACTTAATTAGTCTATCAGTTTATAACGTTCTATTCCGTAATTAATCAATTATATTCTACCTCTTAAGCTGTTTATAATAAAAATGTTTTATTTTCATTATAATTAGGAATCAATAAGTAACACATCTTGACTACATATAAGAGATCAACATCCATATAGAACTAAACATTGTGGTGTTGTGGTAGACGAATGAGGAGTTCAACACCAAGATGAAGGGTTACCAGAGGCAGCCTCACCTGGAGCATGTGTCTGTGTTGGCTGCCGGGGAATATCTGCCTCGCACCACCGACCTGGACTGGCGTGAAAAGGGCGCTGTTACTCCCGTCAAGAACCAATTACAGTGTGGATCCTGTTGGGCTTTTTCTACTGTAAGTTGTTTATATCTGATTTATGTCTGAGTCTAAATCTAAATCTCTCTCTCTGTGCTGTAGGTGTCTTTCTGTACCCCAGAGATTCTCAGGTCTTATCTGCTATACTTGGAAATCCTTAAGTGTTACCCCAGAGATCCTCATGTATTGCCCCGTTAGGTTATCAAAAACTACTCCTAGACATTGTCAAGTATTACCGCCCTTTGAATGTCAGGTGTCATCTCACAGACAGGTAGTTTGGAGGGTCAGCACTTCATCAAGAAGGGGAAGTTGGTGAGCCTATCTGAGCAGCAGCTGGTGGACTGCTCGGGCGACTATGGTAATTTTGGCTGTGGCGGAGGAAATATGGATTCTGCCTTCCAGTACATCAAGGATAACAAAGGCATCGACACGGAGTGCTCTTACTCCTACGAAGCTAAGGTATATATGTAACTGCAGTTTATATATCGTCTCCTACCTCTATAAGACCGAGATAGTCACAATCACAGCTAATATATCTCGTCCTGTCTCATATTAACCAAAGAAGCACAGGCTTTCTTCCCATGCAATTACTAATCACTCTCTAATGTTAACCTCCCAGAATGGCCACTGTCGCTTCAACAAGACCAGTGTGGCCGCCACCGTCACCGGGTACGTGAATCTGGAACAGGATAATGAGACCGCCCTCCTTATAGCTGTTTCGGAAGTTGGCCCAATATCCGTGGCCATCGACGCCTCACACCCCTCCTTCCAGTTGTACGACGGCGGTGAGTACACCACCTACACCTGCCTCTAGCCACACCACCAGTATATAAGTTACGTTTTTTGGCGAAATAGGTTATTTTGCAAATTGACCGGTATTCATAATTTCATATGTAGTCACAATGAAAAGTGCTGATGCCTCCACGGTTGCTCCACGAACCCCGAGATTCAGACTCATGAATCCCAATCATTTATGGACAGAACAATGCATTAATATATACTGCTTCGGGTTCTTGAGTCTGGATCTCGGGGTTCGTGGTTCAGTAGTAGAGGCATCAGCACTTTTCACTGTGACTACATATATACTGTATATGATTGTGTAGGACATATGTATGTTTGTGTATGTGTGCATGTCACATTATGTTGCACCAAGACAGGTATCTGCATGTGTACATTAAATGTGTTCTATATTACTTAACGTAATTATTAAGTCCTATTTCTTGGACAGGTGTGTACTATGAGCCCAAGTGCTCGCCGACTATGCTGGATCACGGGGTGCTGGTGGTTGGGTACGGCACCTCCAGCAGCGGGGAGGAGTACTGGCTGGTGAAGAACTCATGGGGTGAGACGTGGGGCAAGAGCGGCTACCTCATGATGGCCAGGAACAGGAACAACAATTGTGGCATTGCTACTCAAGCTTCCTACCCCACCGTCTAGCGCTTTACCTGCTGCAGCACACGCACGCACACAGAGGTGATCTAATGATGAATGTAGTCGAACAATAAACGATGTTCATTTCTTGTTCTCATTAATGTTTCCTTTGTTTATTTTGCTGGTTCAGAAATATTAGAACATACGAATATAAATATGAAGCACACACACACACACACACACACACACACACACACACACACACACACACACACACACACACACACACACACACACCCACCCACCCACACACACACACACACCCACACACACACACCCACACACACACACCCACACCCACACCACACACCCACACACACCCACACCCACTCACACACACCCACACACACCCACACCCACACACACACACACACACCCACACACCCACACCCACTCACACACACACACACACACACTCCTCTGACCCCAAGAAGCCCCCTGAAGGGATAACTACACCTACCTGAGACATACATACAGCTGATGAGAGACACGTGTGCTTCTATCTGGGCCAACACCTCTCTCCAGATCAGTCTAGAGACAAGGTTTGGTGACGTTGACGACAGAGTAGCCATTTGTATATCCATTCCATTATCTCACTGGATCCTAAACCTCACGATGTTTGACTAAAGAAAAAGCTAAAATGTTTGAAGTTGAGCTCCAAACTCAATGAAACGCCCAGGTACCCAAGAGCAGTCACAGTTTGGAGTGACTTTGACAAGAGCCATTAAAAGCCTGTACAGGACTACTGGTTATACTAAACTGGTTCATGGTTGTGTGTGGTGTAAAGTTGTTGGGTTACTCTCGTCTCTACTCACTCAAAGGATCGCTCTGACAATGACTCACGTGTGACCTGAGGGAGGCCCAACGGCTGGGGAATCTGTCTGCAGGGCCTGGTACTGCTTTGGTAAGTGGTCCCAGCGGCCGCTGGACTCGGAGACTGCCAGCTGGGGCCTAGGTGTCGGGAGGGGAAGTCCCCCTCCCGACCTCGACTTGTGACGAGTGTGGCTCCTTCTGGCTCTGGATTCTGTCGATCACTATCTGCCTTCTGAAAGGAGCTGTAGGCCCCTTATAGTGGAGGTGTTAGGCCGGCAGATGTCGTTTCCTAATTATCACTAATCTGGGTGGGTCTGGACAGCTGTGTTTGATCAGGTGCAGTCCGCAGTGTAATTTCTCGAAAGAGAGATAATGGTTGTTTGCAATGCTTCAGAACACTCCGCATAGTGAACGTTGACACTGACCAGTTAAACATTAAATTCGAACTTCTTTTATAAATATACCAGAGTCTGTGAATCAGTGTTACAGTTAAACTAACACAATTATAATACTCGTATATTTACTATGTCGCTGTAGCCACGCTTCTTTTCATGTTATATTCCTATATGACAACACAACGTATCTCTTGAATTAGATGTTTTTAAATTTGCATAAAAAAAGGAAACTGAGGCATCTTGGTTTCAAGAGGTTAAATCACAACTTATTTATTTAATTCCAAAGATAACATAAATAGGACCTACAAATATTATACCACCATTATTAAGTTTACCAACCCATGCGATGCGGAGGAGCCGTCCTTCTCATTCTCAAATTGATCATTCCAAGCTCTAAAGAAACTGTTTGAGCTGTGTGTATATATTGGTGGTGTGGCTAGAGGCAGGTGTATGTGGTGTATTCACCGCCGTCGTATATCTGGAAGGAGGGGTGTGAGGCGTCGATGGCCACAGAGATCGGGCCAACTTCCGAGATAGCTATAAGGAGAGAGGTCTCATTACCCTGTTCCTCACTCACGTACCCGGTGACGGTGGCGGCTACTCTGGTCTTGTTGAAGCGACAGTGGCCATTCTGGAAGGTTAACGAGAGGACCTCCTGCAAAACGAGTTTGGGTGAAAATGGAAGTGACTGATCTCTCGCATCTTCATAGTGAGATCATGAGAATATTTTTATAACTTAGAGAAGTTTTTGGACAAGTTTTTGTGTTTATAAGATACTGTCACTATTAACTGTAAAAAAGAAAATGGAAAAGTAAACTCTCAAAAGATCATCTGTGTAAAAATTCCAGGGACGAAACAAAATTCTGGAATAGTTTTTCTCAGGGCTCGAGCTTAAGCCCTCAAATACGAGGATTTACTCCCTTCAGTATGTGGACCTTAATCCCCTGTGCTCAAGAGACTAAGTCCCCGATAGTGGTGGAGTCCTGCGTGTTATGGGGATTTAGTCTTGTTATCGGGTTTCTAACTCTTTATAGCGAGGGATTTCAGTAAAAGTGGACTTTATATTGACGAGTGTTGATGTTATCCGAATATTAGTTAAGAATTTCTCCAGAAAAATACGTCCAGTTGTTGACAAATATAATTCATCAGGGAGGGAGAGGAAGCTGCGTCTGCCTCTACTGCCCCATACACCACCACTCCCCTCCCTCCCACAATCCCTCACTCCCTGCCGAATTCTTTTTATCTGTTCACAATTGTACAATATTTATCAGTTGCCTTTCAAGAGACCTACAATGCTTAAAAACACAGTCATGTTGATGTAGTGGTTCACTTTGCCCCTGTACCTGTTTCAATTTTAATATGAACTATTTCCCTTGTGGTGACAGTATCTTAAGACAGTGCCTGGATCGATGGGTCACTGTTTACCTAATTTTGATCATATCTTTTGCCATCAAAAAGAAATTGAACCAACATCAGGTTAGACACAGTGGCTTTCTTTCACCTGATGATTGAACACCCTAATGCTATCTGGGTGGTAACAGTGTAATATAAGTACTAATAATGTAATATTGACGACGATAATAATAATAATAATAATAATAATAATAATAATAATAATAATAATATATTTTACAACAACGATAATAAACACACTAAAACAACAATAATAATAATTACTTCACCATCATTAACAACAACAACAACAAAAATACTTTGTGACCTGATTTTGACCTTTGGCCCAGGTCACGGAAGCACTACACCAGGAATGACATAAATCACCCTTTAGGGAAATCAACATAAGGGTTAAGTCAGGTCAACACTATCTGTCTCGGGTCTAGTTCCATACACGGTTTAAACTATATATGGGTTGTGATTTTCTTGTTACGAATTGATAATATGCTACCTCGACTATGCTGTTCAGTTCTGGTGCCCTTATTATAGAATGGATATCAATTCACTAGAGTCGGTGCAGCGAAGAATGACGAAAATGATTCCGGGACTTAGAAACCTTCCATATCAAGATAGGTTAAAGAAACTAAACTTGCATTCCCTAGAAAGACAAAGAGTGCGGGGAGATATGATAGAAGTATTTAAGTGGGTGAAAGGAATCAATAAAGGGGATATAGATAAAGTTCTTATAACATTCGAGCAGGATAGGACTGATCAACGTTCTGAATTCTCTCCCCGTATGCCCTTATCTTGTCGTTCTCGTTCCTCCTGTGTGCAGCATCGAGAGCTAAGTTACGGTGACATGCGGCCATGGGATAAAAAATCCTGATGTCAAAGAAGGCTCAGTCCCCGCGTCCAGAATCCTCGAGCACTAAGGTCAACACGGGCTTCGTTGGATGTGTTTGAAGTCCTATGTTGGAAAATCTCACCGTCCAATGGAAGGAGGGTCGGTTCTACCCTGACATCATGACATATTTCCCTGAACATATTTGCTGTGAAATCCCTTACTTCGTCAATTATTTAAACTGTCAGAACTATTATACTATTATGGCTATTAGGATTATTAAAACTATCAAAACTATTTAAACTATCAGAACTATTAGGACTACAGTAAAACCTCGATTAACCGACCACATATGGGGGACGGGGCCGAAGGATAATCCAAAAGGTCGGTCAATATTACATAAAGTCTACGGAACATACATTTTCAAAGTACCTTTCCCTAACCTACCTCATTTAAGTCCCTCTATTCATTTTTGTTCATTTGCCATTCATATTTCAATAGAATTTGCTTTAAAAAATTAACCACTTTAGTAAATAAATATGAACCAGCACAGAAACCGTGAATAAAAAAATGGAAAAGTCAAGGAACATGTCATCACAAAAAATGTGACCAAGTCCCAGGTTGCTGATCTGACTTTCTGCCTCATTTACACACAATTGCAGGGTCTCAATTGTTTCTTTTACTATTGACAACACAACATACATACAGGTGCATTGTTTATCACTCTTGATTTTTTTTCATTTTTGTATTTCTTTACGGTTCTGTATTACTATTATTATTATTATTATCATTATTAATATTATTACATTATCGCCTCCTAGGCCCCGATGTGAGTCAGTGACCTGTGCCCGGGATTGATGGTTAATCCGAAAGTCGGTTAATCGAGGTTTTACTGTATTTGTATTATTTAAACTATCAAAACTAGTTAAACTATCAGAACTATTAAAACTATTAGGTCTATTTGTATTATTTAAACTATTTAAACTATTAGGACTATTTAAACTATTCGTCATTCAGTAGTAATTAACAGGTACTTCACAAGTGTTAATTAAAGTAGACGCTGAAGGTGGTGATAATAACAACAATGGAAAGGTGGAGTGTCTGTCTGTCTGTCTGTCTGTCTGCCTGCCTGTCTGTCTGTCTGCCTGTCTGTCTGTCTGTCTGTCTGTCTGCCTGTCTTTTTTTCTCTCTCGCTGTTTTTTTTTCTCTCTTTCTGTATCCGACTGTCTGTTTCTCTTTGTACGTCTGTCCGTCCACCTGTGCCCTCCCGTCCGTCCGTCCGTGTCTCTCCGTCCATCCGTCCGTTCGTCAGCAGGTACACCAGGAGGATGTCAACACGCGGATCTTATTACTAGTATCGAGGGTGCCCGAGGGCGCCCGACGAAGGAAGTCATTTTTTGGTGTTTATCGCGTACAGAAAAGTTGTGAGATATGAACCTTTTCAGTAGGGAGGGTAGGGAGAGGAGGAGGAGGGAGAGGAGAGGAGGAGGAGGGGAGAGGAATGAAGGAGAGGAGGAGTATCAATAGAGTCTCACACACGCACACACCATCTTTAACTTGCAGTGTGTAAAAGAAACAGTTTGTTGACATTTGCAGCCTACGTCAGGTGTTAAACAGAGCCGTTATCGAGTAATTAAAGGTAAGGT